TATATATATATATATATACTTACTTATACATTTTCCATTGAATTCTTTTAACTTGCCATAACATATACATTTTGGTCTTCCATCTGCGTCGAGTTCACATTCTCCATCCCCACAGTCGCAAGCTATGTAGAAATAAAATAAATTATAATTTTTTTTAATATTTTTCGGAGAAAAGGGAGCATAAACAATTTTTGAAAAATTTAAAATCTTGTGAAGTAGTAAATAGAAATTGAATTTTAAGCAGTGAACATAGTAAGTATTTAAACTTACAATGCAAAGTGAAGAAATCAAATATATAAGTATATAATGCAAGATTTTTGTTACGAGGAATAATTTTCTATAAGAATATCGATAAATACAATTTCTCATAAAAACATTACGTTGATTCATTAATTTCAGTCTAATTTCTCTGGAAACATTTATGCCAACAAGAAATGCAATTAGAAATAAGTAAATAATTTTTGAACAGTTAATTGAAAGCAATTTTACTGAAATTATTGTAAATATTTTTTTTTTAATTTGCACCTGAACAAACCACAACATATCCATACTAGAAAATTCTATAGAAATTATCAAGGATGGAACTATTTTTAAAATCCGGTAGTCAGAAAAGAAATTGTGGTATTCGAACCATATATCTGATATTTTGCAAAGCTGCATCAAATTTCCAAAATTATATATTTCTCTAATTATTAGAGGAAAAATATGAAAGTTGTCTAAATTGTTATCATCGCGCTTAAACTGATATGAAAAAGTATCAGTAACTCCGTAAAAAGTATCGGAAGCCCAATTATTTTCAGAACCTGCAAAACCGTATCAGATTTTCAAACCTAATGTATTTTAAAAACTCATTAAGAAAAAATATGAAACTTAAAGCAGTTTTATTATAACCATCACATAATTTGACATGAAACAATATGAGTAACATTATACACTGTTCAAGAAAATTAGGGTAGCACATGGCTCCCCTAAATTTTTTGAGCACTGTAGTTCCATAAAAATTATCGATAACCCGCATAAGTGCAAAAAAAATTTATGTCTTTGAACCTTAACCCCTTGGGGACGGGTGATTCAGAAAAGCATTCGTACAAAATCAGAATCAAGTTGTAATGAAATAAAAAACGGTAACTTAAATGTAGTCGTTGATAATTTGACAGACTTACTTTACTTTTACTTTAATTATTGTTAGTTTAATCATATATATAATCAATGTTAATTCAAAGTATAACTAAATAGTTTTATTTTGAACATAGTAATGGTGATTTAAATAAATCAAACAATTATAACCCCGCCCACAAATAAACTGCTATAGAAATACTTTGATTACCAGTTTTATCTTTTTACCCTGGATGACACGTTTTTATGCTGGCACGTATTTGTGACAGTCCGCGCGAAAGGGTTAAAACAGCATTAGATTTCCAATTTTCAAAAAATGTGTGAAAAACAGTTTTATTTAACACCACCCAATTTTTCTAAATTGAAAAATAATATATAAAATGCAGTTTAATTTAATTTTAATTAATCTAATATAAAATTGAACAAAAGAAATAATACTGTGAAAAGACAGTGGTACAAATTAAAATTTTAAAATTATAGACATCTATTCTTATCATGATGAAATATCCATAGCATATTTCCAAACATTTAAAAACTAAATTATTATTATCCTCCTTAACACGTTTACGCCGAGGTGACCCACCGGTGGGGCACGCTAGATTGTCTCATCTTGGCAGCGCACCGGAGTAAAAACTGGTAACAAATAAATTTCATTTTTTAGTTTTTTTTCCAGGAATAATAAAAATCCATAACTACCAATTGTTTGTAACGGATGCAATTTTTACATTGAATTGCTTCTTCGCCGTGATAAATGTCCTTACAGTGAATTGTTATTGTTGAGAATAGATTAACTCCTCCCGAATATTATCTAATATTGAAATAGTTCTTCGACCAGTATTTTTTCTTTTCCGTCCCGCTTTCAGGCGCAACACCCGGCGTGAACGTGTTAATCCTTTTCTCAGTAAATCAAAATTGTTAATATAATCTGTAATCTTTTAATACTACCACCTTGAATTGAGTTCAGAATAAAATCTATTTTTAGAGATTTCCTCTACATCAGCATAACATATTAACATTAGCATTTTTCACATATTTGAATGCGTAAGGCTAAGAAAAAGTGCCTTGGCATTAAATTTCATCATTTAGTAGCATGGGTTCCTTAACTTTCCTTGGCGAAAACTATGCTAATGATACATGACACTTGCATTTTTGATTTCTTGTTGGACGAAAGTGTCTTGTGGGGTTTAGACTATTTTCAAATTTTTTTAAATTTAATAATTCATATATACAGTAAATATGATGAATCTTTTATACTTTGGAGCTCCATATATTCAAAAATAAAGTAATTGTTATTATTTATCAAATTTTATTCTTCACTATATTTGTTTATCCGCACACTCTGGACAATAATACGAATGGATAGTAATAATTTTCTACAATGATACATAAACATTCTTCAACCAACTAGTGTTAATCATCATCTTCAGAATAATATTCTACTAATATTGCCTTCCTCCAATTAACCCCTTGCACTAAGCTGAAATTCAGAACTAGCCGTGCCTAACTTATGCACCCGAATGTTCTCGGAACGAGACAAAGACAAGAGAGGTAGATAGAGGATTAAAGGTTAGGAGACAAGAAATCAAAGCTTAACCCCGTCTCACCCCTGTCAGGGGGCATCCGGGGAATACTGTAGACTCAAAGTGCGCTCTCGTGACTACTCAGCAAGAAAAAAGAGAATTCGCATAGGTAGGCTTGGTGACGATCCATGGCAACACGTTGGAATAATGGGCAAGAGTGGCAAATTCAACTCCAGGAAAAAACCTGGGGGATGTAGGTTGGGGGACGCGCAGCAGCCTCACCAAGATCCAAAGATTCCCTCTCCCCAACCAGAAGGTCGCAAAGAAGTAAAATACAAGACAAGAAGTAAAATACCTATTCATATATAGTCTGTCTAAGCTAAGAACTTCTCTCGCTACAAAATCTGAGGACGTCTGGTGCTATGGAAACAGGAATGGCGCATTTTAGGGAGGGTAGCTACACTCTAGGACTAACACAATAGACCGAAGAAAGAGATTCCCTTTCTCCCAGATACCCAAACCGAAATCACTCCAAAACAGTGACCCCACATCCCTACATGAAATAGTCATACCTCGTCACCATAGTCACCGCCACAGATCCAGATGAATGTCTGGAGAAGTTCTTATTTTAGACAAAACTATAAAGAAAAGAAGGAGCCCATTCAGACGTTCTTGTTTACCCCGAGATTAAGAACACGAGTACAGCTCGTGATACTCATGTTTGGCCGAAATGTCGATTACGAGCCAGACTCGTGATATTCACGTTTGACATGAAATTAAACAACGATCCTTACTTGTGACATTCAAGTTTGGTCTAAAATTTTCTTTACGAATCATACTCGTGAAGATAGTGCAAGTGGTTAATGGTAAATCATCCAACTTCTTCAGTCAGCATCTCCAACACCTTCAATCACCAATAATTTTCTAGACAATTCTCTTTTATTTTTATCTAGTATATTTTTTCAATAAAATTCATTTGAAAAAAATATTGAACGAATTCTGCAAAAAAAAAAGTTGTGTTGAGCTATTAATGTATTGAAATTTACTTACTTCGACATTTTCCGTCGTGAAGTTTCATTTTCGCATCACAACTACAAGGTTTGGGTATGCCATTTTCATCAAGTGTGCACTTAGCTACCCCACAATCACACTCTAAACGAAGAAAATTATCACTATTATTGTAAAGTAAATGACTAATATATTACCCAATATAGTAATCGAAGATTAGTTTGTTCAGAAGCCAAAATTAGTTAATATAAACTACAATGTTTGTGAAATTCGCAAACTAAGTTTTCTGTTCTTAAGGAGCTAAAGCAGAAACATTTAACAAACAAAATTATTTTTAAATATTTAGTAAAGCTCCCGCATGTTCATGCACAGTTATATACACAGCAGTTTAAGTTAATTTATGTGTAGTGGAGGGCAAATTCATTTTAATTATTATTCATGAAAATTTTAATACATTACCTTTGTTACCACTAGTAAAGATATTTTTCAAACAATGGAAATTCTTTAGTAGTCAATTTTCATGGTACATAAAGTAGAATGTTGATCATATTGTTTTCGGTTACTCATCAGTACGTATTGTGCTCATCATCATCATATATACAATATTTATCTGGGTAGCCACTATCCAGAAAAAATTTTAAATCTGGTGAAGAAATTCGATGAAACGAACTGTTTCATTTAATTGTTATAGATCGAAATTATTTGTAAACTAAATATCTGCGTTACTATCCATCACCTGAGTTTCTAAAATTGCAGAGAACTTCGAGCATATAAAATTTCTGATATATGAAAAAATTATGAGCACTTTTTAAATTTTTCCAGACTGTGGCCACTCCTTATTTACCTGGCCACGTGAAACCATTTATAGGCCTTTTTCAAAGTTGCAAACTGCATCGTTTTCGGCAGAGGTTCTGATAAAATGGATCGTTTAGGGCTGTTTGTACCTCGGAAATGCGGAGAAGCTGGTAGTGAAACCATTTCATTTCTAACTTCTTTGCTAAGAAAAACTGCTCTTGATCACCGAGACTTATTAACAATTTCTTTATACCTTAGAATACAGTCTTGTATATACGTCTAATAAAAATAAAAAAGTCTTCGTATCCGAGTGCCTCAATTTTTCGCGAAAACCAACTCTATAATAAATAGTTTTACTATAGTGATGCCAACTGCTCCGGACACGCCAAAATAATTTTAAAAAAAACGGCAAATAACTACAAAGTAACTGTTGCAAATATTTCACTATTTTTGCCTTCTTTTTAAAAGGTTTAGCATGACATAAGTACTATAGAGTGGTGAATTATATATGCCTACGAATTATTTAGAAATAGTGGGGGATAAAAATCTGCAAAATTGAATTTATTCAAACACGAATCACAATTGATGAACTACCACTTTAAAATATATATGTGCTGTCCAGAACAAGTTGGCATCTTGCCAACTTGCTCCGGACAGCACACTTGAAAGCACACTCCGGGCAGGACATTTTGAAAACACTGCTTCATAGTTTCCTTCAGTAGGCAGCGTCATCTGTTCAACGGACTTTGAAACTTTCAGCATACCCTATATTATTATCATTCAATTTCTTTTAAATGATTTTTCGATTTATTGGTCATTTTTGCGACAACTGGCATTAAAAATTAATTTAAAATATTTATCTTGAAACAATAGATGGACTATAGACTATCAACCGGATTCTTAACGCGGAATTAAAAATTATTACAGGGTATAAGATAAGCTAAATGCACTTAGTCTGCTTCTTTACCCGTTTTGTCCCAAATTTATATATGGAAATGATACAAAACAGTGGTTTTATGGAAAAAGTGGTTTAATATATTATCGAAATTAATTCTATATCTAATCAGAAGTAATTAAACCATCATGGTATCTGAGAATCTTTTAATTCACCCTGATAAATGAAAATACTGAAAAAAGTTTCCCGCCACAATGAATGTCTTTGAAAAAAGGAACTGTCCTAAATTTATGTCTTAACTCTTAGAAGAATTCTTAACTCTCAGCTTCTTAAGTCTCAGAAGAATTCTTATATTAACTTGCAGTATTCTTGGAGGAAGACAAGAAATTATGACTCTAAATTAAACAATAACTATATAAAAAAATTAAACTATGAAATTTAGAGACCTAAATTAAAAATAATTTATAATTTATTTATTTAATTCTTTTTAAATAATACAAACGTTACCTTTAATTTATCTTACGTAATTAGGGAGTTTAAGGAATTAATTGTTTTATTAAAATTGATGTTTTTCGGACTAGATTCTTATTTTAATATTATTAATTATTACAGCATTCATTTTGCCAAATCTTCAGGTTTCGCCAATCTGAGCTGGCGTAGGTAAATAATAACAATATTTTCATGTTTTCCAACTAGAAAGAGGTTCCAGAAATATTTGGCTACAAACAGCTGACGAGTAACTATAGAAAACCTGACTTTTGGCAGGAAACTAAAATAACAAGCGAGTGAATGTGATGACTCGAACCGTTTAAATTTATTTTAGAAAAATATGGATTTCAATTGAAAGCTTGCGGAGAAGAAATATTCTAAAGACATAATCTTTTTCCCCTTAAAGATTGATTAATTTTCAAGAAAACGGTCATAGAAGTGTCTATTTTTCTTATTAGTGCTATGTGATTAGTGCTGACATCTAGTTTAAAATAAACTAACTATCTACAATTACTTTAAAATGGTACTGCCATCTGGTGTGTAAAATGGGAAATAAAATGTTTTCCAGGCAAAAGAATGAATTAGTTTTATTCTTATTGGCGCGTTACTACTGACACTCCAGCCCAGAAATTTCACGGGAGCGAGAAGTAGAGAGCGAAACCTCACCCCGTCATTTTCACGGGAGCGAGAAGTCATTGCCAACGTAACCTTTTTTTTTTTTTTTTTAAATACTCAAATTCACTAAAATATATAATAAAATCACTCTATTTTACGATTACAGACCTTCCCGTTCTAAGTAAGGATAACGGATTAATTATGGATAAAAAAAAAAATTTGGAAATATTACCGACACAACGATCGTCATGGAGTATGTGTTTTTTGGGGCATCTGCATATTTCCTTGCCACCTATAACTCTGCATGTACCTCCAATACATTTTCTTTTCTCACAGCGAACCTCTGAAAAAAATGTAAGATTAATAATGATTAATATAATCCTAAATTAAGAAAACAAATCATATTAGAAAAACTGAAAACAAATATTTCATTATTGAAATCGACTGTTAGATAGTTAAATTTTATTAATATGATTATAAATAGCAAGGAGATATAATAGTGAGCGAATATATTTATCTTACCTTTACAAATATTAGTTTTATTATCGAGGACTTGATATACCTCACAAGAGCAAATAGCTTCTTCCAGCTGAATGGCGTAGACGCAAGTACCATTAGCACCTTTACAGTTTTTGTATTTACCACTCACGCAGTCCACGACCTCCTCACAATATTCTCCATCTAATCCCCGCTTGCAAGCGCAACTCCTATGTGTCCCAGAATCCTTGCAAATGCCACCATATGCACATTCTGCATCTGCTTCACAGTTCCCTGAAATACAGAATACGGTGTTTGTGTTTATACATATATATATTCAAACTCACCCATTTTTCCTAATTTGACGGAAGATTTTTATTTTTAGATTCAAGTACAGAACACGGTGTGTGTGTTTATAGATATATATTCAAACCTACCAATTTTTCCTCATTTGGAGCAAGATTTTTATTTTTTGATTCAAGTACAGAACACGGTGTTTGTGCGTGTTTATAGATATGTATTCAAACCTACCCATTTTTCCTAATTTGAAGGAAGATTTTTATTTTTAGATTCAAGTACAGAACACGGTGTGTGTGTGTATATAGATATATATTCAAACCTACCAATTTTTCCTAATTTGAAGGAAGATTTTCATTTTTAGATTCAAGTACAGAACACGGTGTGTGTGCTTATAGATATATATTCAAACCTACCCATTTTTCCAAATTTGAAGGAAGATTTTAATTTTTAAATTCAAGGACAGAACACGGTGTGTGTGTTTATAGATATATATTCAAACTTGCCAATTTTTCCTCATTTGGAGGAAGATTTTTATTTTTAGATTCAAGTACAGAACACGGTGTGTGTGTATATAGATATATATTCAAACCTACCAATTTTTCCTAATTTGAAGGAAGATTTTTATTTTTTGATTCAAGTACAGAACACGGTGTTTGTGCGTGTTTATAGATATGTATTCAAACCTACCCATTTTTCCTAATTTGAAGGAAGATTTTTATTTTTAGATTCAAGTACAGAACACGGTGTGTGTGTGTATATAGATATATATTCAAACCTACCAATTTTTCCTAATTTGAAGGAAGATTTTCATTTTTAGATTCAAGTACAGAACACGGTGTGTGTGCTTATAGATATATATTCAAACCAACCAATTTTTCCAAATTTGAAGGAAGATTTTAATTTTTAAATTCAAGGACAGAACACGGTGTGTGTGTTTATAGATATATATTCAAACTTGCCAATTTTTCCTCATTTGGAGGAAAATTTTTATTTTTAGATTCAAGTAGTAGGGAAATTCATGTTTGTTTCTTCCATTCCATAGTTGGATATATAAACTTAATTTTCATGGCTTTCCTTACCATTGCAAATAAAATCATTCTCTGTGAAAGTTAGCACAGACGAAATGTGGTATTTGAACTATTTTGTTAGCGATTTACTAGAGAGAAGGCTGGGCAAAAATAATTCTTTACTTTATTTCATTTAACACTAACTAATTTGATCTAAAAATCATGGAAGTATACTGAAATTAAAAGGGGATTAGTTATATCAAAATTGAAAAGTGAAACCAAAAAAAAATTCTGTTACATTAAACATAGCCATATCAATGCGATAACTTCATATTATTTTCCCTAATTAATAAAAACTCCGGAAATACTGATTGGTAACAAACTTTAGAACACTTCTGTACTAACTTTATGTGAATAATATTTTTTTAGGCAGCAAATATTTTGAAAGATTTTACATGCCAAAAATGTGGACTTCTTTCATTAACCCTGGTGCCACTAACATTTTTTTAAAACTGCTGCGAATACGTAGTAGCTGGTGTCTCGGTTAAACTATGCTCTTATTTCAGATTTAAAGATATGTATAAATACAAGTAATATATTGTTCTACATAGATCTTACATTCGCAAGCAATCCTTAAATTATTTTTTAAATTTAATTTATGATAAGTAAACGCTTTTGTTATTACTTTTTTCTCTGTATTGAAGAAAAGGAATTATTTTAAAAAGATGCTGACATAAATAGGTTTATTGTGAACATCTTAACTCCATGGAAAATTAATGCAAATTTATCCAAACTTAGGTGAAATGTTGACCTTGGTAAAACAAGAAAATGATTAGAGTTACGTAATGGTCGCTATGTTAATATGTACCACTATCAGTAATATGAGAAATAAATTACATTAATTTTTGAAAACTCTTGTAATGGTGTTACTGTTTTCATTAACCTAAGTGTAACAAAATCCTGACAACATTCTTTTAAAATATTAAATGTTACTTCAGTTGAAATTATTCCGGTTAATAATTGGAAAATCAATTGTTGCATCTCCACCACTTAAAGAATATTAATTAAAAATGGCAAAACAAGGCTGCTATCTGTCAAAATACATTGCCTTTGTCATAAATTTACTCTATAAAGCAACTTACCACCTCCAGCATGCATTTCCTTAAACTCTGCAATTTCATTTAATCCATTTAAATATTTTTCTCCATTTTTCTCCAATTTAAACGCATTTATTGAAACAATCACAGAAAACAACCACACTTTTAAAACCATACTAACAGCCATCACGTTTTCAACTAAAATGTGCTTTATCCTTACTTCTACATTCCGTGAGAAATTTCACAATAAATAAATTAACAAATGAAACAACTTTACAAAAATTGTGTTGAGGAAATCAACACCATCTAGACTAAAATAAATATCGAGTTTAGATCAAAGACGTAACCAGTGAAAAAATTAAGATAATGTTAACCCTTTAAGGACTGCTTGAAGTGTTTCATTGTGATAGAAAACGGGAAAACAGCTGATAAGAGATAACAGAGATATCTTACAGAAAATTCTAATTTCAGTTTAGTTCTGACACGAGAAATATTAATCTCTCACCCCTCTAATTCAAACAAACTTTACATCATTCAAATCACAATGGTGATAAAGGAGAAGTGAAATGTAGCCCGAAATATATTTTCAAACCAATCAGGTGAAGAAATAAATTTTTCAATTGTTGTTATCTTTCAAATGAAATCTATGTCCGGGTGTACAAAATAAAACGATGTTTTGAAAAATAAATTAAATAAAATCCGAAAAGATACATTTATACTTTTTGGTATTTTTTTCTTTCTTAGGAAACAATATATTTAATACTCTCTCTCTCTCCAATTACTACGGAATTATGGTAATTTCAAAAAGTGCTTTTCCTTGTAGCAATTGTTATGTATTAGAATCCGAAGGATATAGATAGAATATATAATTTTTTTCAGCGCTATATATAAATTCAACAGTGCTTCTTAACAGATTTAATGATTTAATTCTAACGCACTCATTTTAACGAAAGGAAATTTAAGTACTATTATTAATTTATAATTGGAATTAGTTATCAAATTTAAGTTTATGGAACAATATTTGTTGTCCGAGTGGTTAGCGTGCCTGACTGTGGAGCCGATGGTTGCGGGTTCGAATCCTGCCCAGGGCATGGATATTTCTTTCTCTGTTCTATGTCCTTTGTGTGTATGATTGTGCGAATGTGACCCGCCCTATAAGCGGGCTTGTGGTTGTGTGGCGTGAGCGACGCTGCTCCACCGCCGTGGCTTCTCCACAGGTGCCCACTGGGTAACGAGAAGAGAGTAGCAGTTCTGGCATTCCTGTGGCCAATGGGCCTACGTCCCAAGTGACCGCCATTAAATATATATATATATATTTGTCGTAATTGGAATTAAATTTTATGGGTTCTATTGCATTTCTTTTATTTTTTAGTCTATGAAAGTACAGAAATTGAGACTTTCCATAATTTATCATACGTTACAAAATATATTACATCCCACTCACGACAGAATTTTTTAATTCTTGCTGATACAAGTCAACAGTTTTTCAAAATCCACGAAATGCTTTTAAGTTTAAAAGTATCATGTTTTCACCAACAGGGAGGGGAAAAATATTTTTGGAAAAAATTTTGTTCCTATGATTAGATTTTTACGTTTTAAGTGCTTTCGTTAATAAATCGAATACTCTGACTAAACCGATTGTTTGTTCGATGAATTTGGATTATTTGTTTTTCGTTTTTTCTTTTAGTTTATTTAGGCTTAATAATTTTACTTTTTGCGTATTCCATGCTATCTCGAAAAATGTTTAAGCGAATTAAAAAAGCATTCATTCACAATTATAAAATTTGTTTAGAATGAATTTACAATGAATTTTTTTTTTCGTAATTTGTTATTAATTTATAATAATTTGTTTAATAATGGTTAAAAGAATTTTGAAAACCAAGACGTGCAAACTCATGTATAATTTTAAACTATGGGATTTTAAATGACACCGTGCAAAATTTGAATGAAGCCGGTTGAAGAGTTCTTGAGAAATGCAAATTTAATAATATTTCTTTTTGAAAATTTGTAACTCAGAAACTGTTTGATCAATAATGTTCAACTTTGGATTTTAAAATTGCACTGTTTAAAATTATGTAATTACATTTATTACATTTTAGTTTTAGTATTACATTTTAGTTTTCTTCCAATTATAAATAACAAACAATAAGAGATAATCATTTAAAATTAATTTTTACATTCCGTTTTATTTGGATAAAATGCAACAGAATGCTATCGAGGATTAGTGGAAGCCTTTGGAGAAAATGCTTTACCATATAGGACAGTAGCACGATGGATTTAAGCATCTCGTCTTTTTTCGTCATTAAGCCTTTTCACAACATGCTTTAGAGCGATGGAAACGAAACTCCTCACTTTAACGCCACGCAACAACTACCCTTCTAAGCAAATCGACNTAATAAATCATTATGGGAATGACAAACAGAATAAGTTGGCTGATTCTTTTGTTGTTTTTACGTAATTAATTTGGCATACTACAAAACATTTAAAATAGAACACTCATACTTTTTGGGAGAGGAAATTAAATACAAGTTGTTTCAATCTCACTGTAAAAACTTCCGGATCAAATTATGATTAAAAAAATGTTACGGAAAAAAAGAATCTGGTATACTGTAATTTTTACAGTATAATTTGGAGATAAATAGTAACCTGTAATTTTTACAGTAATAATCACTCCAGTAAATAAGCAATATTGTAAAAATTAAATTACTATATTTCACGGTACAAATGGAGTTTATGGATGGTGCTTCCAAAGTGCAGATACATAGTATTAAAGTCGTACATGGTGACATCATAGACTGAGAAACAGCCCATTTGATGTGTCACACATAGAAACAAGAATAAGATTTAGAACCACGAGTATGAGGATGTATTTATGAGGTATGTATATATGAGGATATATATATATATATATACAGAGAGAGAGAGAGAGAAAAGCTATAGATAGCAGCATAAAGTGCGTAACGTATTGCTTACCTTAAAATAAACAATCTTCCACAATAAAGGTTGCGTTTCCCCCTTTCAAAAAAAGGCGAGTTTTAAAGTTTTCTAGACACGAGAAGGGGGAAATTCGTGGAGTGCCTCACATTTCATAGGCGCTTTTTGACATAAATATTATCATAGAATATTTTTTTCCAAACATATACAAGATTGCCTAGGCATGGTTCTTGAATGCAGTTCTAGTGGCACCATGCAAAATAAAATAAATAAATAAAAACTTTGTTTAGAAAAACAAAATATTAAACTAGAGAAAATAAGCTATATAAAAACATTTCTAGAAAATAAGCTATGAAAAACATTTGATTAACAGCAAAGTAACTCGTTAAATTATTAGATTTAAAGCAGCTCTAAAAAATTATAATAATGGAATAAAAATTTTATCTTGTCCATTTTCGGGAAATAAATTGGAAAAAAATATCTATATTTGAATTATTTAAATAAAAATCTAACTAGTTTCAGAGCTATCTACCTTCTTAGAGATTTTGCAGAAATAGAAAACTTGTAGGGTCCCTCGCAACTTCTGGCGATGGCCCTGTATCAATTATATAAATAAAAACCTGATCTTTTCTTTTTTTGAAACTGTACAAATATGGCTTAAAAACAATTTAAACATTATTTTTTAAAAAAGCAGAAAAATATATTTTCGGCAAGATAATTGAATTACAATTTTTGCCTAGTATTTTGGAACAGGCCTTTGGAAGTAACCTGTTATTTTTATAACAGGTATGATTCAATAACAGGTGCAAAATAACTGTTCTAGAAAGCATTAGCCATCTCTAGTTCTTTCTAACTTTACTCATATTCGAATTCCGCACAATTTCTTACTTTCATTTGACCTTTCTTCAATTTATATCCAGATTCACAAAATAATTGATAACTTAATTATTGTCATATTGAGATAAGGATTTTTACTGCATTCTCTTTAGCTTACAAAAATTATCCTTGAAACCGAATTTCCTAAACATTTGAAAATTAGGCGAGTCTGCTGTTGCCATTCCCGCGAGGCAGCACCAGCTAGATCAAATTCATGAACACTGGCAAAATCAAGAGCCTATGTGATTTGTTGAAGCTGGATTGAACATGCACTTTGTACGTGTAGTAAAAACCAGGCTCACAGACTCGAAGGTCAAACATTTCAAATGTCTGCTAATGAGTTGTGAAGTAGCAGTAAGTCTCCCTAAATATATAGGGCATCCACTGGTGACTAGGCTAAAAAAAACTGAAAGGAATTTCCTAAAACAAATTAACATTTAGTACAAAAAACGAAAGTCACCTATTTTTGGCAATGGTAGAAAAATACTCGCCTAAAGCATCACTCGGGAAACTTGATTCTTCTAAGTCATTCATTCTACTGAATTTTTTCGAGAGGTGAATGTAACCCTGAATTTATAAAATAAATAGAATCTAATAGTAAGACTTTCTCATTGGAAATAACTTCTATCATTTTTTACGAAAGAATTTCCACCAAATAGATTATTAATGGATGTTTTGCTTTTTGCGAAATACTTTCCTATATTTATCTTCCTTTCATTTATTCTAATACTATTATTATAAATTTCATCCTGCAAAATTCATAAATTTCCAATAAAAAGTACAAAAAAAGTTGTATTTTGTTGTAAATGCAAAATTGTAGTAAATAATATTTTTTTAAATTGGTAATTGACTGATATTTTATGCGTAAAACTTATATCTTTTTTCTTAAGAAAATATGTTGAAAGCTTTTTTTAATTTTTATACATTTAATGAACAGCTGGAACATTGGAAAGAATTTTTGAGTATATACATTTCTTTTTAAATTAAATTTGCACTTACCAATACAGTCTGAATCCTTTTCTCCTTTTTTGGCATCATCTTTTGGTTTGAAACCATCCTTACATTCGCAGGTGAAATCATGACCATACGACATACATTTGGTATTTTCTCCAGTACAGTCATTCTCTTTGCATTCATAAATCATTTCTAAAAATACAAAGATATGTTTGCGAAATTTTAACAAAAATGCAGAAAACGATATCCTTTAATAATTTAAACTGTTTAAAATTAAGAGTCATACTAATTATGCATCTCTTCCGTAAGGAAAGCATGTAAAAGCTTTTGTTTCCTTCTTAAAATCACTTTTTGTTGGAAATATTTATTCTAGGGTCATTAACTAAAACATTGGAATTTTTGAGTGTATACATTTCTTTTTAAATTATATTTGCACTTACCAATACAGTCTGAATCCTTTACTCCTTTTTTGGCATCAACTCTAGGTTTGAAACCATCCTTACATTCGCAAGTGAAATCATGACCATACGACATACATATGGTATTTTCTCCAGTACAGTCATTCTCTTTGCATTCATAAATCATTTCTAAAAATACAAAGATATATATGCGAAATTTT